GGCAACGATGATCAAGTACCTGACTCCTTCTCATGTCCTCTACCTTTAACCTCCACCATTTAAAACGATATAGTAAGACAAACCGAACGGCAGTCCAATAAACTCAACCATTAATAGACAATCGGATATCATAGCAGCGCCATAAATTGTGTAATTTGATGAAAGTCAAATGGGTTTTTTGTATCCATATAGAGATTTCTTCGGTCACTGACCCATCAGGGTTCATCCGACTTTCCCATGTAAGTGAAGTGGTCAACGCGCTCAACCGCTTCGCTTCTTATTGTTAGACAGAGCACCAATGAAAACCAGTTCTAGAGCAATGATTTGCATTTGGGCGGTGAGAAACACATCTCACGCACTATCAAATTGCCATTCAATGGGTTCAGAAGACTCAGTATTTTGTCAGCATTTTAACCTAACACAGATATGTCATCTGCTAAGGAGTCTCCAGTGTTAAGACGTCCCTATAAAATCAGAAGACGAGTGGTAGACCCGTGATAAAATTGAATAAAAGTGAAGAGAGTGGAGATTCTTGAGGGGCACCAAGGAAGTCGTTGGATGATTGGTACTTACCGGCTGCCTATACCATGACAGATGTTTTTGTAAGGTGCCTGAAAGAGAAGATTAGTTATGTGACCGTACAGTCTATGGAACATCTGCTTGAGGTTTCGCATTAACTTTTTTAATATTATTGGACTGAGGTTTGACCATGCTGAAGCCAGACCAAAAAAATTCATACCACCAGCACGTGGATAGGGCAGAGAGAAATGTTATTTATGGCGTCGACCTTTCTAAAACCCTCTTCCTTGAGAAAAGGCGGCACCAACATGATCCTGCTAGTCATCAGTGGGAAACACCTTGCTGTAGTCACACTCCCACCCAGACAGCAGTATGACTATACACTGGGAGCCACCACAGCATAGCTATTTGCGCCGTAACTGTAACTGCTTTTCGTCCTACCACTATTCAACAAATCTTTCTGGATTGTGAGGACATCGAGAGAACAGGCGTTCCAGCCAGTGTAGTTCGTTGGTTTATTGTGATATGCAAGCCTGACTGCTACGACAAGGCAGCAGCTATCGGTAGAAGGAAAACAAAAGTAGTTTACGTGTGTTTGAATATCACTCACGCAAAACGCCTTCATCCTTTCTCACTTTCCTTGTAGCCGTTGATATATAGTCGCCAGATGGATGACTATGAAAACAGCTGTAAGTTTGGATGTACAATCTTGTATGATAAATTTTTAGAATAAATGCTTCCAAAGAATCTGATATAGATTTCGTAAACTACTCTTTCGTAGGAATTCGATTACAACTTCAAAGACAAATCATGAAGAATGCTCGGCGGAAGTTGCACATTACTGTAAGTAAATTTTGATATGCTAGTACTGTCTTTCGACAATATGCAAAATCGTGTCTGTTTATGTGAGTATTGCATGCAGAATGTCAATACCTGCTACCATTTTCAATTATGGTTGATGGAAATGTAGCTTAGTCATGGGTGACGTCAAAATCATTCTTAGTGAAACGAAGCGTACAGTTTATGCAGAAGGATAAGTGTACTGCTAGAGTGCATATTTTTCAGTTGCAATAAAATCACTGAACAAATACATGCACTTTGTATAGGTCAAGGAAATAACTTTGGATTAGTGTGTAAGATCATGTTGTGCAATGCATGTTATGTGAAAGCAACGGTTTGATAGTGGTTAGTTATTGGAGGTACTGTACAGATAGTGGGAAAACGGCGCTGAAATAATGCATGTGGCGAATTAGTTTCCAATCTATAATGTTAAGGATAGTAGACCAAACAGCCTGTCAACCCTCGAAGTATACACCTCTTTGAAAATCCAACTTTTGCTGGGAGCGTTCGCTGAGGGAGCTGATATCACCAGCCTCAAGAACAAGTCCCAGTTGTTGATTATAGTGTGAAGGAATCTGAGTTCCGCTCGTAGTTTATTCAAAGTGGTCTTTGAACCTCTGTGTAATATCGCTTTATAATCAATCTTAGGAGTAAAATAATTAAGGAGGTCAATACCAAAATCATTATTCAAGACATAATACGCCAAAATAAGATCACCTCTTCCACTACAATATGATAATGGGAAAAGTTTTGAACTACCTAACCGCTTTTCAGAGGAAAGATGAAAAAGTGACGTTACTAACCTAGTACCTGAACTGTTTATCCGTTCCAGAGTACCTGCTTCTTTCTTAAAGAAAGGACTAATCTGTGTGCAATATCTAAGGTGAGATCTTACGTATGTAGGATATAATATACTAAACGTACAGTCATTAAAGCATTTAAAAGTGCTGCGAAGTAAATAATGGAAGCAAGTGCTTAGCTGTAACCACGTTGCAGTGTGCTATTGCTTTCACCGTGTAACTGATAATATTTCTTTGAGCCATGTTGGGCGATGCAGACTAGGTGGTTGGGGTCAGCCGGACAAGAGGAACCAGTGGTTGGAGATTGACTCTAGGTGATCACATGGCTCAGAACCGATGTCAGTGGCACAGATGTATACATACATTATCCTCATCTTAACGACGCTATTACCGAATCTCATCACTTTCTCATTCTTCGTTTCTCTCTTTCAGTACTTTGTATTTCTTTTGACTGCATTTTCTTATCTTGATCTTGCGCCTCACTGCCTTTTTACTTGATGTACTGATATGAGGTGTTGGAACTCGGACCGTTACGCAGTAATGCCTGATCCTAGGTTGATCTAGATGGATAGATGGATGGCTGATAATATTTCGTAGATCCTTTTGCTGATCAATGTTCACCAAAACACTGAACAGTGAAAGTTGGGTTGTTAGCAGGTGTTCATTAATGTACTCTAGCTGGATTAGATTCTCGAGTTCCATATGAGGAGATACGAATTACGATAGAGTTGTGAGGGAGGTTGACGCTTCCGGGCTACCCACACTGCTAAAGTCTACTTCTTCTTGAGGTGTTTGCAAAAGGGTGAGTGGGTGACCCAAGAGAAATCTGCTTAAGGTCGGCCACATATGACCTTTTGAGAAGTATGATGGTTAAGTTTGTATTGTTTAAGTCCGGCTATGAAACCATATCACCGGCACTGGGCTATCATAGGGCAGAGGGGAAGTGTGCAATTTTAAAGGGAATACATTTTCTAACCACCGGGGAGAAGCACCAGCGTGGTACTGCTGGTCGTCCAAGCAAAACACCTTACTGCTGTCACAACCCATCCAACCAGTAGTATAATTTCACTCTCAGACTCCCATTACAGTGCAGCAATTTACGCTACAACGGTAACTGCTTTTCGTCTTACCACACCCAACAGAACTTTCCGGTATGCTAGAACTTCGGAACTTTCCACCACTACAGCTTGTTTGGTCATTGTGATACGGAAGTCCAACTACCATGTTAAGGTGGTGGCTATTAGTCGGGTCCCAGCCCTCAGATCATCCGATCAGCTCATCCCAGTTCGTCTGAGGGGTTAACCTATTTTCAGTGTTATAACTTCCCCATGCTTAACATCACTTGGAAACAGGAATGATTATGGCTCAAAAGTTCTACACAGTTTATGAGTACAAGCTAGAAATAAAAGGTCTGAGTATTTTACGTCATCTAAAACACAAAACGAAATAATATGAACACCAAAAGAAGCACTTTACAAAGTAGTAAAGAGACATAAAGATGAGAAAGATGATAAAGTAAGAGGAGAAATAGTGGAAACAAAAATAGAAATGGGTTGCTAAACAAGCAGTTTCAGAGACATACAAGGAAGCATTCACTACTTACATTTTACCCTTCAGTAATAAAATAAAGGAAGGTGAGGCATGATCATCAATGGTTTCTATTATAAGTCATATCTGCTACCGTCTCAAGCCATTGGGCTGTGAGATCTCTTAGGCCCCATCGACAGTCAAAACATCAACAGCTGCTAACTCAAGGCAAACATTTTTTATCTCACAGCGCAACATCAGACACTAACTACCTCTCCGCTTCTTCCAACCCGTCCCATACCAAGTAAACACTGAACGATATGAAAACTGCAAGGGCAATATTCGTAGGATGTTCAAACCACCAGAGCCAATGCTTTATGAATACCTTACTCAATTACAGCTGAACCCTATCACGTCTTGGCACACGCTACATTGCCTCGGAACTAGCGATCCTATGGGGAAAACTATGATCAAACATGCAGAGTTGTCCGATATCCTCAGACTGAAGAGGCAAGGCCCTACTGGTGCATAGCACAACTACCAAAGCCCATGTGTTGTATACCTAAGCTTCTGCATAAGTTCAGACGTCACAACGGTGATACACATGGACCAGAATGGTGTATGTTGCTCAGGATTTTAATATGAGGATGGAAATCTCATCACACGCCACTAGTACTTGCACAATTACCCGGGTACTTTCAATGGCTCATCAATAAGGTGAAAGCAGGAGCAGGTTTCTATCAGTCTTGTAAGATTACCTTACACTGGTGTTATGAAGTACTTACCACACTAACCATCATTGGTCAGTCCCAGCATGGTGCCTCAGGACACGCCTATTAGCAGCCACTTTTGGGGAAGCCTGCCTCATCCATTCTCAATATATGTCTCCCATCATACAGCTTGTCCTTAAATCACTCTTATACCTTGACATCGATACCAAAACTAGGGAGCTGGAATTAAATAATGTATTCAGTGCCATTCTGAAGTCAATAAACGCCACTTTAACGGATATCTGTTTCCACTACATCACAACTATTAACATCATACAGCAGTATGCGAGACGACAACCGTGTTGGTCTTGAGCCAATAATCCTAGCATCTGAGTGACGCAGCCATTTATCCTCACTTTTTACCGGACTTTGAATGCTGCACAATAGACTTATACGGTGGAAGTTAGCGACAAGCTGCCCATTGCGATCTCTCAAAACATAACAAACTATGGAGTTATTTTGTGTCTTAGGTAATCGAGTCTGAGACATGTCAAATACCTTGGATAGTTTGAGTAACTTCAAAACAAAATAGATAAAGACTCACTTTGTTGTCCACTCTAGTGGAATTTTATTTCGATCAATAGCAGCATTTTCTGCAGGTAAGCCGAATGAATCCCATCCCATAGGATATATTGTTGACTCACCACACATCATTTTGTAACGAGCTAAGACATCAGATACCGTGTAAACACGCAAGTGCCCCATATGCAGTCTTCCTGACGGATAAGGGAACATCGACAATACAAAAGAACGCCTGTTACGCAATTCTTTATTTTGAATCTAAATGTGTCAAAATAGCTTAACTTACCCGTTCATTATCCATATACATCCGGCTTATGATCGGTAGCCATTTCCGCTCTAAAGCCTTCACATCACTCAATCCGCAGTAAGCCTGTGAAAGTAACACAATGCTTCATTGAAAACGAATTACTGAATGTTTCCCAGGCCCTGAACAACACCTATACGTTATAACCTTCAAGGCCATGTGTTTTTGGTTTCTGCGGGAACAACTTCAAGGTCAAGGCTAGGTGAGTGGTCCTAATGGGTGGGGACGGAATAACATCAGACTTCAAACATCGTGTTGTAGAATTAGAGAACTGTGGTTCCTTGGGTTCTACGTCTGTCTTAATAGGATACGTTCTGAGTTTGGAATGGTCACAATTATCTTCTCGGTTCTGAAAAGGAAAGAGATACGATTAATTAATTCATCTGGTCTCAAGTTAGTATTACTGCATCTGATCTGGGGAAAGCTTCTCGAGTATAGCCCATCGGTACCGTTGGACTCGAGGTGTGCGTCTAGCCTCCTTTTAAAGGTATCAGGGGATGGGTCTGTAACAACTGCTGAATGGAGGGAATTCCATAATTTACGGACTCTAACTGCAAATGAGTTAGCACAGATCCTTGTACGTGCTCTCTCATGCTCTATTCTTAACGGGTGACCCCTCAAGTCGCTTTTCCGACTAAAGCTTAGAAGGGATCTGTTGGGATGGAGGGGATCATGGGTGATGTGGTACATCATGATCATATCCCCTCTGATCCTCAGGTGTTGTACTGGGTGCAGGTGAAAGGCAACTAAGCGGTCTGGGTAGGGTTTTTTGCCGTAACCCAATCACCTTCTTTGTAGCTCTTCTCTGTACCCATTCTAGGATGGCTATGTCCTCTTTCAAGTATGGAGACATTACAAGAGAATTTTTTTCTAGATGAGGACGAATGTACAGGGCATACACTGTGGTGAAAAGAGAAGGAGTTAGACACCCTAAGGTTCATGAGGGAAACCCTAGGATTCTATAAGCCCTATTGGCTGCAAGGCGACAGTGGACAGAGGCTCCTAGTGTATTGTTTAGTGTAACTGCCAGATCTTGCTCCGTGTGAGAGTGACAGATATTTATTTCATCCAGAGAGTAAGAACTGGGAATGCCTTCATGTTTGTCAACTATCATAATTCGATACTTCTTCCAGTTGAGAAGAAGCAGGTTTTCTGTAGTCCAATTAAGGATTTTTGCAAAGTCCCCCTGGAATGTCGAAATATCCGTCGGCTCCTGTATTCCCCTTCAAATCTCCAGATCATCGGCATATAATAGTGAATGTGAATTAAGGACCCCTGGTAGGTCATTGATAAAAGCAAGAAACAGTAGTGGGCCCAGGTAGAACCTTGGGGCACACCACTCAGCATCGGGAACCAATCAGATAGAGATGAGCCAACTCTAACTGACTGCACCCTGGTGCACAGATAATCTCTAAGCCAGATTAATAATTTTCCGTGTACACCCATGAACTGGAGTTTCCTACAAGGGATATCATGATTTACCCTGTCAAAGGCCTTAGAAAAGTCAAGTAAATCGACGTGTATAGGCTTTTCCTTCTCGACAGAGAGTGTCCAGCTATTCCAAGCTATCAACAAGTTGGTGTTACATGACCCTCCTGATAGAAGCCATGCTGATAGTCATTTAGGATTGATTTCTGAAGTAAGTGATCACCAAGTGAGTCATTTATGACTCTCTGCATGACCTTCACAACTGAAGGGATCAGGGAGATTGGTTTGTAGTTGGAGGTGAGTAGTTTGTTTCCACCTTTTTAAATTGGGACGACAGCCACCCGTTTCCATTCACAGGGTAACCTGCCTTCCAGAAACGAGCATTTGAAGAAGTTTGCTGGTGAGGCACACAGAACTTCAGCACACTCCTTGAGTGCTCTTGTATGAATGCCATCGATTCCTGGAGACTTATTCGGGTTCAGTTTCTTCAATATTTCCATAATTACAGGGAGTTTAAACTCTATATGGTTTAGTCCCTCTGTAATACGGGTGTCCAACAGAGGCGGGGTTTTGCCTCTCAAATGACGGAGGTTGTTTTGGAATTCATTAGCTAGTAGGTTTGCAACTTCGGAGTTGGGATAGGGAATCTCCAAACTAATAAGGTCCTGTAAACTTGGTGAACTGCTACACTTCTGTTTCATCAACGAGTACAGTATCCCATGATTCTCCTCCAGGGCTGCATAAAGTTGTGTCCTGTGGTTTATTCTGTCATTTCTGATCCTTACTAAACATTTGTTACGATGTCTTAATAATTTAGCTAGTCAAAAGGGCAGTTAGTGCACCTCCATATATCCCAAGACTACCGTTTGCACCGTATCAGTTTGCGTGTGCTAGACTTAAGCCGGGAGGGTAGAACTTGTCAGTTCTTCTTGGGATCAGAGGAGTGTTGTCTTCTATCGTCTGTAGGATTACATTCTTCAACAGACCCATCTAGCATCAAGATCCAGTAGGCCGTCGCAATTCGAGCAAACGGAACCTTCCAGATCTTGCCGAACCTTCTCGAAATCAGTTCTCTTGTAATTCCTAACTACAGGCTGATCGGGAATGGGTGGCTTCGATACAAAAAATATTGAAGGAGATAACTGCATGGTCACTTAGGCTAAGAGGGCTGAAAACATCCAAGTTGCTTACCCCAATGAACTGATTTGTGAAAATATGATCTATTCGGGATGCCTTACCGTCAACCCCGGGGAGTACATTGAGAAACATGTTCTGTCAAGGAGTTTTCCAGTAACAATCCCCGAAGGTCTTTTAGAGCAGTAGATAAACCTTTTGTGGTAAAGAGTTGAGGAAAGTTGAGATGTCTCATAATGAGGACCTATGGGACGTTCGGTTCCAGGGCTCCTCTAATGGACTGTAATAACATATTATTTGGCGTGGCATCAGCTGCGGGAGGGCGGAATAAAACTTTAGCTAAACACTGACCTCCGCAGCCCTTAATACTACACCAGAGGACATCTTTGATGCCAATTCCGTGACATTGAACCTAATGGACTTTTAAGGAAGGGAAGGTGTAAAGAGCAACGCCACCTCTCGGACCCTCCAGTCCATCCCTCCGGATTAGGCTGAGCTGTCCTAAACGAACTTCCTCGTCTTTTATGTTCTCTGATAGCCGTGTTTCACAGAAAGCCATTATGCTAGGACTTTCTTCATCCACTAATAACCTTAACTCAGGTACCTTGGAGCGTAGGCCTCGAACACTGCTGAAGGTACAGTGAATAAGAGTATGAGGGCCGGAGGTCCCAGCAGCTGGTTGAGTAAAGCGTGAGTTGCCAGCCTTTAACTGGCCGGCTTTGACAAGTTTTCTGATAAAGCGGTGGAACCAGAGGCTACTGCATCCAATGATCCCTTTGGCTGGGAACTGGTGCGGGGTTCTCCGATCTGGGACAAGGTCGATGTAACGGAAAATTGATCTGAAGATCCCTCCCGATCACCCCATTTGATTGTATTGACATTTATTTTAACATTTTTACCCTCGTTATGGATGGTGTACCTTTGACCCTAGCCGGTGTGATGTTATTTGCTTGTTTGATTGTCTTATTTGACTTTGCACTCGGTATTTGCCACTATATGTTTGGGAATTATTATGAATGTTTCACTTTCCTATCATGCGACGCTGGACTGCTGACAAGGTGATGTTGTTTTACTGCGCCCGACATTTTGTTTTGGTTCGACTTACGGTGGTGCTGTGATTTGACTGTTTGTCTTTTGACTGTCCACCGGGAACGTTTGTTTGTTGATTTGATTCCTGTAGGCAGAGTTTTGATCCCTTTTGTCGGGAATATTCCTATTGACCGACAGGTACTTAACAGTTATATTTGTTTAACCAGTTTTTACTGTATGGAACGTATTTGCACCCGAGAACGTTTTGGACTGTATAGTTACCCGACGGCACTGTTGAGGTATTTTTGTAATTTTGACGCAACTTATTGTTGCTTTGATAGTACCACAGATTTTGTTACGAATCTACTATTGAACTACTACAAACCGTGTTTTGATATTTTGATCCAACCTTTGACTGTGCATCACTCGCGGAAGTTAGGAAGCTATACAGTAGAGCGCGGGAACTAGTCAGATTCACGTCAGTTGGCACCGCCTACCTATTTCCCGCGTTCAGGCCAAGATTATTGGATTATGGCCGCTACAGTCGATAAAAACTCTTGCTCGTCGTCCAACCGTTCTACCGTTGGGTGTGCGTTGGCCAACTGTAAGCGCTTGATCGCTTCTCAGTCCGCCTTTGTTGCCTGTGTCTGCACTCACTATCTTCATTTCTCTAGGGAATGTATCAGATACATTATACCAGGATTCCAGGGTCGTTATAACCATGTTCGGAGAGTCAAGGGTTACTTGGAGTGGCCTGGGAGTACGTATAGTCGAGAGGTGGGTCGGCCCTGGAAGACGATCAATTATTTCGGCCCTCACATCGATTTGGAGTTTGGTGGCAATGTATCTCCACTGATTCATGTCATGGATAAGTTCGGCAGTATCGGTACCCGAACATCCGGGAACCCCGTGTATAATTACAGAGCAGCATAACTCTTGAGAGTGAATCTTCTTGCTGTTGCGAAGAGGTTCTTGCACTGGCCAGGGTCTATCAGGCCAAATCCTGACGTCAGACGGTTTACGTTTCACCAACTGATGACCTTTCAGAAGGGTGTGTTCCGACTGACGTGTACTATCAAGAGATACTCTTAAAGGTCTAGGGGAGCCTTGGGGGGAGAACTTACCGCGTGCCAGGCGTTGAAGAGATGGACAGAAGGGAGAGGTTCCTAGGAGTTTGTAAGCACTCTTCCATTGGTCGAGGTCATGTTCTTCACCATCAGCCAATAGGGAGGAGCCACCTTCCTGAACGTTGAAGTGTGAGTGATCTAAGATTTAGGTTATGGTCTGTCTTTTGGAGCATATTCCAACCTATGAATACAGACTCAGATTTCTGATGAGCCTTTTGTGAGTGACTCGGAAGACCTGAGGTGCCAGCTGTGGGAGTTTTCTTGATGATTGAACGAGGCTGGTGGTGAAATGTAGGTGGCTTCTGCCCTGAGTTACAGGTGGTGGGGGCAAGATCTGCATTTTTCGGAACGTTTTTCGCTTTAGTAGGAGAGGTAATGTTCAGCTTGTGGTTCGGCTTCTCATTACGCTGAGTAGTCGTTACTCTACCAGACTTACGATCG